ATACAATAGCTATTGTTCTCTGTGTAGTTTATTCTCTGGGACCTTTAAATTTCTTCTAAGAGAAATCTATCATTCATTGATTAGATTACCTGAGTAAAAAAAATTTCTTACATGTAGACAAAAATACTTTTTTTATACTCATTAATTGCGTGTGATGATGTATTTATTCAATATTAATAATATATTTTCATTCAGTTTAATATAAACATTGATTCAATCATAAAAAGTTGATTTCTAACAAAAGTTTTATCAATGTTCCTATTGAAATTTGATTTTTTTGTTGTTTAGTTATAGAATACATTTAAGAAGATCTTAATTTGAAACATCATTATTTTTAAGTTCTTATTCATGTCAAACAAATTTTTTTTTAAAAGGAACAATGTTGAAAGTTTTGTCAGAAATCAAATTTTTATGATTGAATCAATGTTTATATTAAACTGAATGAAAATATATTAATAATATTGAATAACTACATCATCACACGCAGTTAATGAGTATAAAAACAGTATTTTTGTCTATATATAAGAAATTTTTTTTACTCAGGTAATTTAATCAATGAATGATAGATTTCTCTTAGAAGAAATTTAAAGGTTCCAGAGAATAAACTACACAGAGAACAATAGCTATTGTATCTATTCAATAGGACAGGTGAACTTGCAAAAGTTTAAATACCTGGTCAAGATAGAGATGGCACTGTGGAAAACTTTCATTGGGTTCGCAATAAGTAGGGTACACAAAAGAGCAACCTAAATTCTGGAATGCAAATACTACCGTGCTACCTGAAAGGATACATTAAAATACAAAAATAATCTCTAAAATTGAGATTCTGCATTTATCCTTTTTTTTCTCATTTCAAAAATATAGTAGGTTAATGTTAAAAATGAAATGGTGTATATTTTTTACAGTACTCATATAGATAAAATAAAAAGGAGGAATTGTATCAGTATAATTGTTGTTAATTTATATCATTTCATTTTACAGAATATTTGAAATACAAGCTTGACTTATATGTGTCATACCTTCCTAAAGTAAGAATAATGCGTTTACACAAAAGCCTAGGGAAAATGGCCGCATGTCAGAAAGCAGTTGATTTAATCAAAACAACACATTTTGCCCTTTTAGACTCTCATTCTGAAGCATACGAAGGTAAGAACAAGGAGAACACTTATGTTTTCTTAATGATCAAAAGTTATCAATGGATTACTTTTTAAAGTATATTATGCTACTAGCACATAATATACACATGGGTATGCGTTTGAAGGAAATTTAGTTTTCAGTGTGTAACTACTAAATCGTACAATACCAATTCTCATCTGAGTTATATTTCAAACTTGTCCATTGGATTACCATAGTTATTGTGCTAATTTTGCATTGTTTAGAAGTATTGAGTCATTTTTTCAAATCTAACGGAGTAGTGGAGGATGCTTTGTATTTTGCTGAAGTATTACTATCCTTGAATTTAATTATGAATAAAAGTTGAGATACTGAGATTTAATTGTAGCAATTTTTGTTGTCTCATATGCCGGTATCGCAGGGTAAAACACTTTATTTTGAACTGATTCTTATTGAACGTTTTAGCCTTGTATCTTTGATGTGTTATTATTCTACTACTCGAGTGTTAAAGGCGCTGGTTGAGAGGTAAATAAACTAGTTTAATCCTACCAAATTTGTATTTCAAATTATTGTTCCATGTCCGGAACCATGTCAGTTGTTGTTTGTAGTTATATCGCTGTCTAATTTCGTCCCAAAGGGAGTTTATATTGAGCAGCTGTTTTATATTTTCAGTTGAATTTATTAACATCTTTTCTAGACTCATGACGATTGAGAGATTGACATAATTGAATAGCAAATGTTTTTTTTATTACTGTGGATTTATTTATTCTCGTTGATACCTATTTTCGTGGATCGAGGAAAACTTGCATTTCGTGGTTCTCCCAATGTTTGCATACAAGCTTATAAAACATTGTAATTCATTGATCATTTAAATTGGTTGTTCACCTGTACCCACGAAACCCACGAAAATTGGTTCTAATGAATAATAATAAATCCAAAATTTTGATTTATGTTTCGTATAAACCTTACCCAATATACATTTTCAAAATTGTTGTGAAAAGAAAATATTTGAATGTATTTATTTTGAAGTTATCAGTAATGTGTCATTGTTTAAAATGTTCAATGATTCATTCAGTTACATTTCATTCGTATCTTTGCATTTGACATTGTCGAGATTTGATTTAACGCGAACATATGTAAAAATCGTAAAATACATATAAAACTGTCAATTCATATTTTGAAGGCTGGCTACAACCGTTACTCCAAAGACTGACAGAAAATCCAAAATTATTTGTCACGCCTATGGTTGGTAACATCTATGAAAACACATTTGAGTACTACTTTCGTCGTCCGAAGGACTTATACAAAAATCTAAAGTCCATGTCGTTCGATTTCTTTTTGTATCAACAATGGTCACCGTATAAGGAAGAATACATTAAGAAATTAAAGCCAACAGAACCTTTAAGGTATGCATTTATTTTGACATTTAAAATCATTTCCCTCGTAACATTGTATATGTAAATCCCACATAATGTTTCTTTCACTGTTAAACATGCAATATAAACATAGAAATGCAAATGAGATTCGTAAGAATATAGATAAAGGCAACAGTATTATACCGCTGTTCAATAGTCATAAGTCGAATAAGCGAAAACAAATCCGGGTCACAAACCAAAACTGAGGGAAACAAATCAACTATAAGAGGAAAACAACGGAACAACAGAAACACTGAACTGCTACAAAAACAAACGCCAACATACATAGAAACGTAATATTTGATAACAACTGCCATATTCCTGACTTGGTACAGGACATTTTAAGAAAAAATGGTGGGTTGAACCTGGTTTTATTGCTAGCCAAACCTACCGCTTATATGGCATTGTTAAAAATACCGCTAAAATGACATTACGTGACAGGAATACAGTACAAATAAACGCAAGATTATTCAGGACAGATAAATACATAAATAAATAATATAATAGTACATTACAACATGTAAACCACAGAATAACAACGGACACCTCCCACACGACAGGACACCCGTACACCACAATAGAATTATGAACTGTGCGTCACACAAATGTATCAACGCCACCAAAAGTGACGTCACAGGTAAATTTCGAAAATTGAATATAAAATTGTGATTAAGTTTGTAATGGTGTTATTTTATGTTTTTTCTAACCATTACAAGAATATTATATAGAATTGTGTTAGTAATGGTGTAATTATTTGTATTTTCTAACCATGTCGGTTTTTCTTCTAAATCAAAACTGTGTAAAAACAAATAGATCCTGTGCATATAGTTGCTTTAAACTAGACTCTGCCACTGCAAAGAATGAGATTTGTAAGAATATAGACTCTGCCACTGCAAAGAATGAGATTCGATCGTTTGCCATTTGAGACTTTTTCAAATATGAGACGTGTAAAATTGATATAAGAAAATGCGACAACTCTCCAACAGAGACAAAATGCCGTAGAAGTTAACAAAGATGTACCACCCTTCGGCCTTTGAAGCTAAACTATGCATTTTGAAAAATTTCGTACAACAAAATATGAAATGGACAAATTTGTTAATCTAGTAAATTTCAGACAAGTATATGTGATCAAACATTGAGACTTTCTGTTTACGTTTTATTGTTCATTTTGTAAAATACAATTAAGAATGGTCGTCTTTTTTTCAGGGGGTTATACTAGAAATCAGTAACACAATTAAATTTTGACGGATGAAAAACTGAAAACATGTTGATTAAAAAACTACAAATATGGTATTCTGGGAAATAAACATAGATCAAACTAATGGAACATGGAATTCCGGTGTTTTTTTTTTGTTTTTGTTTTTTTTTTATTTTTGGCCTTAAATTACCGATGTTCAAATCTCCGAAATCCATTATGAAGATATAAATCAAGGTAAAAACCAAAAACTGAGGGGGACGCACGAACTCCATAAGTGGCGAGACCAGATGCGTCGACAGGATGAGCGTCTCCTTCTATACATGCACCACCCGCCATTTGATTCCAAACTCCTGCAGTAAAAACGTCACAATCGTGAAAAGGCCACAATCAGTAAATTTATAGACCAGATGACTATTCTGGTATCAAAAGATTTAACATCACGAAAACATATCGATTGTGTGTTTTGACACAAACACTTCTTATCATTCAACCAATAACTCATGATGACCGTAAATCTTATGTATTGTCGATTTTAGTCGTTCTTCCTCTAACTCTGTTGGGACAGTTTTTGTGTAAGGAGCACATTCATGTAAATGAAGTCAATATATATAGTGAGCACATGCACGAGTGTAACGTATTAGTTGAGATATTATCATGAGAAAGAGGGTATGCTACTGCTGATTAATGGGAAGTTGACAATTGAAAAGTTGAAATCATTATGTTTGTCAAAGATTAATAGTTTGAAGTCGTCCAATTGTGTCAATATCCAGAGAAACGGATCAAAATATAAAACAAACCTTCTAGGTTTGGTAATATCCCTAATATCATCTTCACAATGATTTATATGATTATAAAAGATAAAAACGCGATTCTGGAGGAAATGAATTTCTTTTGTTGTACTGCAGGGCAGGTACCACTACTGATGGACTGCCAATTCTCCTGAAATTAATTTGTATGGTAGCTAAAGATTTTGTTATGACATGGCATTAAAAGATATCGGTGTTTGAGAGAAATTTTCATATAAAAATAAGAACACACTTTTTTCAATGCAACGGTTAACTTTCGGTAACCTTAAACGTTTATTATCTGGTTTTGAGTCATGTTGATTTAAAATTTATGTTTATTTCCCTTCAAACGGAGTTTTCAGTAGAATAATGATTATTTGGTTTCGAGATTTATCTTTCGAAATGTGAATATGGAACATGAGACTAGTAATATAACTTTGTATTAGTTCTTGCTTTAAATGCATCATCTATTTTATTTGTAAGAATTGCTGGACATCAAGGAAACGCATTTGCAGTAAACACAAATTTCTTCATGCAATTAGGAGGGTTCGATACAGGAATGGAAGTTTGGGGAGCCATACAAATGGAACTCATGTTTAAGGTAAATGAAGCAATTCGCTGATTAAAATCTTCGAATTATTACGTTTTCTGGTTGGAAGGTGTAGTCTTATTGGTGTTTTATGGAATCCAAGTATGCTCTCATTCTTATCGACATCTGTTAAAATACATTATCAAGTAAAATTTGTGGAGAATGATTTTTGTAAACGAAAAGAATATAATCTTATCCTTTGATATCACCATCATGTTCTTCCATTTCCCAAATTTAGGTTTTGTAACTTGATGCATCAATTTGGCCGAAGGGTACTCAGATACAAAAAGATCTCTTTTGTACTATGATTTTCATCTGGAAATTGAATGTAAACCCTATTCGGAATTTCTAAACATGTGTTGATTTCAATTGAACTTTTTAAGAAAAAAAAATATCATTTATTTTGAAGTATTTCATATTTTAATCAGGCTAGGCATTGTATGATATTTTTCTCGTTCTATATAAGGAAACTGTCAATCAACCAATCTACCAGTTTATACCATTCTCACGAACATATTATTGCTCAGACTTTGATTGATAGTTGAGCCATAATGAATAGAAAACTGATAAACAGAAAATTCCATATGAAATCTTTGTGATTTGGTAGATCTTTAGAGAATTTGAGAGAATATAAAAGAAAAGGTCATCGTGAAGTTGTAAATGACAGAAAAGCAACGCTTCTATTATTCTAACTCGCTCCAACTTTACACAAATTCTAAAAGAGACTTCTACATTAAACCCCTTAAAGAGAGAAATGCAACCACTAACGAGGTTAAAGGTTCTGAACTTTTTTAATCAGCATAGTAAGCACACTGCTATATATTTGTCTGCCTTACTTCACGTCATTTCAGTAAAATATTTCCTTAAACCATCATTTATTTGATTTGCATACAATAAATAGAAATATAGTTGCTCTTATTTTCTTAGCAAATACTTATTATTTACTTCTACTACTTGTTATCAGCTTTTTGGCGTTTGGTGACATACTTCATGTAAGGAGGCTACGACTTTGATGACTAGATTTTGTTTTACTTTTTTAGGTTATGTATGTCATGTAGAGATTCTGTTGTTGATGACAAATCTTACATGCTGTTTCTTACAATTATTCCAAGTTTTTTTTTACTGGGGGCGTTAAAGCGATATACTTAGTATATGTTTAACAGATGCTTGTCTGGAGTTGAAGACCGTATGTTTCTAAAACCCAGCATCTCATTTTTCCTTCACGTGTCGATCTCCTTATGGTTTTATACAGGTATCTAATTTCAAAATATTTTTTATCAACTACGTATAAGATTTTTGAATTTATAGAATACTAAGAAACTAAGGTTCCAACTTCCACGGGCAAAGTTAACCTTAGATGGTCATGCATTTGGTTATTATTTTTAGGTCCCTTTTGGTCATGTAGCTCTTTATGTGTTTCGGAATTATACATCCTGCCTTTCAAATATTTGGCTTTGCTCGTTCATAGTGAAGGTGAATCCAGGAAAGCCCTTCGGACTAAAACAAAATATGGAGTGTTATTTTGATATTTTATAGCACTTGGTAGATACCACTACTGGTGGACTATTAGTCCCTGTCCCCGAGGGTGTCATCAGCTCGGTAGTCATTGCTTCGTTACTGGAACTGACATGATTTATAACGTACCTTTCTTGCATTGTCCGTTTATAGATTAAGTAAATATTTTAAAAAAATAAGGTACCAACTCCTTCAGTTAAGTTGATTTTAGAAAGCTTTGGCTATCATTTTAGTTCTCTTTTGGTCATTTAGCTATTCACCTGATTCGTTACTTATGCAACCTTAGCTTTGAGTATTACTGATGAAGGCAAATCCAGGAGAGCGCTTCGGACACATACAATTTATAAAGTGTTAAATTCATTTTTTATTGTGCTGGGTCGATACCGTTGGTGGTGGATTATAAGTCACCGAGGGCTTAATTCATCAGATCAGAAGTCAATGCTTTTGAACTGACATGATTTATAACATTCTTTCCTTAAATTGTCCGTTTATAAATTTATAAAATAAAAAAAAAGTAAGATGCCAACTCCATCAGGCAAAGTTGACATAAAGTGCGTTCGGCTGTTTAAATATTTTGATGTATCTTTTGGTTCTTATACATCATTGGCTTTGAGAACTTCAGGTAACTGTAAATCCAGAAAACCGTTTCATTTTTTCAGATATCTAAGGCAGCTGCGTTCTAAAATATTCGTATTAAGTAATACATTTTTGTAGATAGATTTTACCGATGGTTTTGTCTCGTCTACGACGAATGTCAATTCGAATTGTTCCGAATCCTAATCCGGCTTCCATTGTAAACCTATTTTTAAAGCAAATATTCTAATAATGATAAAGAGCTGGATATTCAATATCTGGTGTGTAGAAGATGTGTGGTCGAACGTTTCCGTCTGGCATATCTCCGTTGTCATTTGCCTGGTTAAATTGCGCATACAAAAACTCATTGTGTGTTGTGACAGTTAGATATCTATTTCACTATATGTTGTTCATTGAAACAACCACCCACCACCAGACAACATCAGTGCTGGGTTCCTGACTAATGATCATTACCTTTTAAAACTCAAAAAAAAAAGAAATAAACTAGTATGAATAAATATGATACAAGTGTTTTCATCGGACCAAAACTTTTTGATAATTGGTAATATTTCATTCAAGTTTTTAAAGAAGGAATTTGAATATAAAGACTAATCTCTTTTTAAACTCTGTATATTAATATTACTATTGTAATATATCAGTATGTAATGTGTGGTGGCGATATGGAATCTCTTCCCTGTTCACATGTTGGACATCTCTACAGAAGTTCAATAATATGGATCAATGAGGTACTAAAATTCAAGACTTCAAACCAGTACAGAGTGGCAGAAGTATGGATGGATGAGTATAAACATCTCTTGTTTGAAAGAAATGGTAACTATACTGTAAGTGTTGCAAAAATGAGCTAAATTACAATGAAATTGCAGTTTTGCATAAAGCCTTGCTTCATGTTAAATAAATATCTATATATTCGTCTTTAATATTGTTAATACAAAATGATTCAAAATCGGATATATAATTATGTTATTTCGGATTTCCTGACGTATTCCAATTGTATATAAACACTTACATATCAATAATGTTTGCTAATCGGTTCAGTGTTATTCTTTCTCTGTTAAATTGGTTTCAAGCACACTGACGAAAAATAAAATTCGATTTACTGATATAATGAGATAAAAGAATATACTTATCTTAAAAATTGTTATCACCGATAATGTTAGTTTGGTTAAAGTCACTCCGATAAACGAATAATAAAAGGGTATATGTGTTCCCTATCATCAAACCAGAGACCGGAGATACCAAGGAGGCATCAAAACTCATAAGTCCGAGACAAACTGGCAATGACATGGCAAACAATCGAAACACGACGAAAAGAAAAACAAGTCAACAAATCAATGCATAAAATACTGAAGTTTGAGCAACATGAACCCCACAAAACCGGTGGTGATCTGAGGTGGTGAGAAGATTCTGCTCCACTAGTGGCACACATCATGCTGCTCATGGTTAGCACACATTCGGTGATAAGTCTCATTCGATGTCACAATCGAGGAAAAGAGGACGGTATTTTGGTTAAGACAATTTGAACACACTCGTTGTCATCTTTGACGCAGATATTCCATAACGGTCAACCAACTTGTAATGGCGAATGTAAGTCTTTCGATGTAATGAATTCAACTTAACCACGTAAATACCATGGTTTAATAGCTTCATTGTTAGCAGCAACCCTCTATCAAGAAAATTATGGTAGTAAACGCTAAATCTGAAATATCGTATCAACTGGGAGACATATACTCCATATGCAGACGCTGCTTTTTTGTTGCTATATATCTGTGGTATCCTTTATTTCAAGTTCGATGGGACAGATGCGTTAAATAAAGTCACTAAATTTTGAAACATTATAGCAGACAATATTACCTTTTTTATTCTTCCTGCATGAGAAATCTGTTTGTTTCATGAATAAAAGAACATGTCGGCAAGAAGACGAGCGCAGTTGGTTCCAATAGGAACGCCGATTTTTTGTTGAAAAGCACGTCTTTCGGATGTGACACGTTTGATGTCAATAACAATCAACGATCTTGGTGATGTCACTTTCAGAGATTTTTTTGTTTGAATCAGAGCGGTTTAAGAAGCTTTATGCGTACGGGCTTATGATCGGAATAACTACGGTGGACAAGTATTAAATAAAATTCGGACATCAATCATTGTTACTGTCGCATTCATCAGTTTTCTTGACGACTTATTGTATTGTTAGAAAACTCTCCATTTCCAGTAGTATATAATCCTACTCATATATATACATATGCGATTAACAATTCAAACTTTTTCAGTTTCAAATTGGTGATGTTTCTGAGAGGAAAAAGATAAGAGAACGGAACAAATGCAAATCATTTAAATATTTTCTTGATCATATACAAGAAATAGTACATTTTTATATACCAGATAATCTTAAGGCATCTGGTGCAGTAAGTATTTTTTTCTAATACATTACAAATGACTGATATTGCATTTCGCAATTCCAAATTGAAAACTCCTGTATTACGTACTCGTCTTATGATAAAGGTATGTTTTGCTTGTAGATGACTGTACGGATGAGAAAAAAAAATTCTCATGTCCGCAGTTGGTTTTTTTTTATTATGAATACCTGTTTTATTGATATTCATACAATGCCTGAATACTTTTATAATATGTTGTTCGTCTTTCTGTTCGACTTTTGTATTCGCAACTTCTCCTCAACCACTTGACAGATTTTTATGAAATTTTCACAGAATCTTACTCACATAATGCACTTGTGTGCCTTATTTTTTCATCTGAATCATTTTTGGGGTTTACTTTGGAATTTAATATCTGACCACTATCTGACTATTATAAACATGTGTATGCGCTTCTCCTAAAAACCTATTCATAATTTAAACTTTCTCATATTCCTTACCATCTTATCATGAATTCCAGATACTTCGGCACCAAGACAAATCGGCACGAGGATATTTCGGCACCTATAAAAGACATTTTGGCACTCGAGGAGGACATTTCGGAATCAAGACAAATCGGCACCTCATAATGACACACACCTACTTTGCTTATTTTACACGTTTAGCTTTCAGACCTTATTAATTACTGCTTATCTCAACGGTTTTAGTGGCCTTCCATTAAAGTTAGTTTCTTGATACAGGATGTTACCTTGCTTGCGCGTTATAGCTTAACAATTGGAATATTAAAAACAATAAAATCCATTTACAGGTATTTTATTTTATTTAAAATTTAAGAGATCAAACGATCACCATCTACAAACACAAGCTATGCACTTTGATCTTTATTGCGAAATCACAAGCACTTGTTTATGAAAAAAATTACTATATACTTTAATATAACACAAGTTACCCAACTCGTATTTTTGAGAATGTTAAACTTGAGTTTTTTTCGAAAATACGGGTTGAAATTCATTGGAAAAATAATTAAAAAAAATATGCGTTTAAACTTTCTCAAAATCTCAACCATATAATGCTATTGTGTACTTTCTTTTTTATCTATGATCAGAAAAGCATGGGCTTCTCCATTGCTTTTTTGTGTCTGCAACTCCTCCTAAACCCAATATTACAATCTTAACCATAAAATGCTATTGGGGACCTCTGGTTTTATCAGAATTATTTTTCGTGATTTCCTACAGCAAATCATGTCCGCACTATAGCACACAATAATATCCTTTTCTCCTCCTAAGTCCTAATTAAAATTTGATATGTTCTTCACCATATAATGCTATTGTGCACTTCCTATTTTGATTATGATCTTAATTGTGTTTGGATTTCCCTTGCCAAAGCATGGCTTTGTAAGGGGTGGATTATAATTTTGTGAAACTGACAATGCCCTGGTAAAAACGAAAGACGACAAAAAGACAAACAAGTCTACAAAACACTACATAGAAAACTAAATACTGAACAACACAAACCCCACAAAACTTGGGGGATCTCAGGTGCTCTTGAAGGGTGAGCATATTCTGCTGTACCAGTGGCACCCATCGTGTTACTCGTGGTAAGTACAAATTCGGCGTTATCACATAACATTTTCATTACATAAAATGTTATATAATGCAGATATTATAAAGTGGACAATACATCATTGACTTTTATCATTAATGTAGAGATTTGTAGTGAGAGTAGGATTTCCTCATCAGGAATTTAATAAAAATAGGTATTTCATGCTCGGCTATTTAGAGTTGATAAAATTAGTAGCATCCTTTTAATCTCTCTTTTAAGCTTAATATATTTATTTAAAATAAAGGTTACAATTATATTGTTTATTGTTAACAATCAATACGTTCGGTAATTTTGGGTTATATAGATATAAGAAGATGTGGTATGAGTGCCAATGAGACAACTCTCCATCCAAGTCAAAATTTATAAAAGTAAACCATTATAGGTCAAAGTACGGTCTTCAACACGGAGCCTTGGCTCCTCGCACCGAACAGCAAGCTATAAAGGGTCCCAAAAATTACTAGTGTTAAACCATTCAAACGGGAAAACCAACGGTCTAATCTATATAAAAAACGAGAAACGAGAAACACTTATGAACCACATCAACAAACGACAACTACTGAACATCAGATTCCTGACTTAGGACAGGTGCAAACAATTGCAGCGGGTTTAAACGTTTTAATGGTACCAAACCTTCACCCTTATCTGAAACAATAGTGTAACATCACAACATAGAAAGACACACTATAAAATATTAATTGAAATGGCTTAACTCAATCAAAAGACATACACTGAACAAATAAATTTCATCTATGATACAATGTAAATACATAATAAATAAACTAAGGGAAGAATAATTAAAGGAACATGTTATACCGCTGTGAAAAGTTAAACAATTTAAGGAAAACAATATGCTTGAACAAAAATATCAGCCATTAGGAACTACTTTAAACACAGGTAAATGAAAATAATTTTGTTGTTAGGTATACGTGCACAGTTCAAATGGAGAAAGGAAATATTTTTACAAAATAAATAATTTTGATGTTCATTGTACGAAGAAGTGAAAATTTATAGTAATACCAAACACTTATCAAAGCTGGTATATAGACCAGATATAACCCTGAATAACATTAAATAACAAAAAAGCATTACAATTAGTATCAACAGGTCAAATAAACAAGAAAGTACGATTTGAAAGTACTGTACGCTTATTTAAATTTTGTAATAAGAATAAATTTTGCCGGTTTTTTTTTATCAATGCGGTGAAATTCTGTTAAAAAAAACCGTATTTTGTGCATTCCCTGAAAAAGTTTCTTCTTGTACTGTTTATGATGTTGCTGTGTAAAATTTGTTGCGTGATATTGGAGCCTAGGACGACATCGACTAATTTCAGCAGAATAATAACTCTCTGCTTGCTTTCGGGAACTTTTAACATTCTTGATACAGTATTTGGTTATTTCTGTTTGAGTACTGAAACTCCGAAAAATTATTATGCCATTAGCTTATAGATGCACGCACTTTTGGTAAAACTGTATGTTTTAATTTGAAATGCATGTAGCTTTTATAACAGCAGATAGATTCTCTTTCCCAGTAGCATATATTTTTTTTTTATAAATGTGAAGAACAAAAGGTCCTAATTTGAAATTTGTGTATCTTTTCTAACGACAGATTCTCTTTCCAAATAATTTATTTTTTTATAAATGTGAAGAACATAAGGTCATAATTTGAAATATGTGTATCTTTTCTAACGACAGATTTTCTTTCACAGTTGCAATTTTTTTTTTAAATAAATGTGAAGAACAAAGGGTCCTAATTTGAAATTTGTGTATCTTTTCTAACGACAGATTTTCTTTCCAAGAAGTATATTTTTTATTTATAAAATATGAAAACACAAGGCCATAATTGAACAACAAAGGAACACAACTGTAATAACATAATTATACACAAAAAAAATGGATTTATCAAAGTGCAATGGCAGAATAGAGATGGTTCATTCAATTATCATTTATAAATGAGTATAAGAATCAACATTTAATTTGAAGGAATAAAAGGTCCTTTAAATTCTACTGCAAAGCTTCAAACAATGACCATGTCAATGAAAGTATCCTAGGATATGTCCTCAGATATGTCTCAGAACAATATTTAGGATGGTCTTAGGACGTGTCTGAGACATGTCTTAGGATGTAAAACAAAGCTATCTTAGGACAGTCCTAACTACGATTGTCCTAGGACCATCCTAATACATTTATTTGATTAATAAAAATATGAAGAGAATTAAATGAAATATATTTTAATGTTTTTCATTATATAGGTAAAGATGGGAGGTTGCATATCTTATGGAGAAAAAAAACGCAAAATAAAATTTTACCATAATACAAATCATGCTAATAGACACATTATTATCTAGTTTTGTCTTTAGGTCCACTAGATTTTGTTACATGTATTGAATCAGTCTTAGTAATAAAAGAAGTTCAATTATTTTTTAAACCGAAATTCAAATGCATATGGAAAAGCAATTTTAGTTCTTAAAGTACATCACAAAATGACTCCGGAATATCTCAATTTATTTAGATATGTGCATAGTGTTAGTTCTGTTCTAGAACAACCAGAAAAAGTACTTGTAATATGTTTGTTGTTGCAAAAACTAACACTGAATACTATAAACGCTCCTTGTTGATATCTGGAAGTATTTTATGGAACAATTTGTCTACAAACTTAAAACAATGTAACATACTAGTAATTGAATCTTTAAAAAAAAAACATATATTGGTGAATATTTTGTTTAATTCTAATAACAGTTTAAAAGTTTAATATTTGTATTAGTATTTTTATAATTGAATTTTATTCTTTATGTTGTAATTAATTTATATAATGCAAGACCTTATTGTAAACTAGTCTTTGGACTAAATATGTCATCCTGTTGAAATAAAGGAAATTATTGTCCATATAAAATTCTGATTGCCGAAGTGAATAAGCATAGGGGATTTTTATTCAGCATACTGCAAACGTGGCAACGAATAATATTAAGGAGAAGACATTGGAAAGTATCTACACAAAAATAAATTCTTCAAATACTGACTGAAGGCCATATTTGTTGTATTTATTTCGACTTAGGACATCGTAACTTTTAGGACTAACCTAAGACCATCCTAAGACACCTATGTATATATCCTAACTTTAGGACCAAATTAAGAGCACATCTTATCTTAGGAGACTTTCGTTAACCTGACTTAGGACTACGACGTGTCATAAGACCATCCTTGACACGTCCTATAGTCCTAAGACACCTTTGTTGACACGGCCCGAAGTCTTTATCCAATATTAACATTGTAGATTATAAGACCTGGACAGAAAACTTGTTTGTGTCTCTATTATGGCAAAATTGTCCTCGGTAACTGCTATTGGATAGGAAATTATCAGGTACGGTTACGATTAAGAATGTTAATAACCAATTTTTGAAGTTATATCATCATTTATGGGTTTTCATGTGCTAAACTTTACGAACATATAAAACGTAATAATTGTTGACATTTTCATAAAGCTTACGAGCATTATTATTAATTTTCCCGAAAAACCTAAATAGCACAGAGGAGTACTGTTGCAAATATAATAAGCTATGTAAACCCTTTTGTGTCTTCGAATGTACCTCTGTTTGACCAAACAGCATGGGAGATATAAAAATTAGTAGAACACTTAAAAATTCTTGTCATAAACGGATTCTTTAACCACTCTTGTAGTAAGGTAAGTTATGAAACTCGAGAGCACAGTCATCGAATCCCGCGAAAAATTCGTACCACCGATGACATACTACACATATTTTCTATCACATACTGTGGATTCATTATTATTTGTGGGATACTCATTTTCGTGGATTTCGTATGTATACGTTAGCACGAATTTAAATGTTCAATTAAGTACACATTTTCGATCGGTTTATATGCAGACATTAGTAGAACCATGCAATCAAATATCCACGAAAATACAATTGTTTCTCCATCCACGAAAATTGGTACTAACGAAAATAAATGAATCCTTAGTATGACATATGATTTTTTTGTTAGCAATTTCTTAAAGTTTTTTGATATATATACATATATGTATATCTAAAGCATATCTGTTACATTTAGTTCTGGGAATGGTCAGCGGATAACGAAATACGACATGGAGTTGACTGTTTGGTACAAAAAGGAAAGGATGGCGTTGGAAAAGAGGAATGTAGTTTCAATAAAATTGTGAAATGGGAATATCGAGAGGTAAACCAGGCTTTTCACCAAAAAAATAAAACTTATTTTCTTATATTTAGTAGAAAGATATCAATAAATACGGTAGATATTGTAGTGAAAACGCAACATGCATTTCTTGGTGACCAACCGAATGTATTTACCTATATTCCTTGCCTGTTATGGAACACGCTACATGATTGAAATGTCTTTAAAAGAAATTCGAAGAAAAAAATGGCAGAGTGTTGATAAGACAAAAGATCAAATCTCGCGCCTTTCCTTGAAGTCATCTCGTTTACATATTTAAAATACAATAGCCGTGGAAAAATATATTATATCACATTAAACAATTTAGAATGTTTGGGTGTAAAACACTTTAAAAACAGTACAAGTGAACAATTAAACCAACACACAAATATATAAGGTCAACATTGTAGGTGTAAACCTCGAATAATTGTAAATTTAAAGCATCCATTTATGGGTAACTCTCGCTGTGTACTTGAGGTGAAGATGACGTCGAAAGTATCAAATTAGTTGTACCTGACAGAAATCCTTTAATTCACTATATATAAGGAGTAAGAATATTCAGTCACAATTAACGATATCGCGTGTCAGTCTAATTAAAAGGATGTCAGACTATAACCTTCTTTGACCGTCTAATAAACAATTAATTTTTTTAACCATTGTATTTAACATTTTCTTTACAGTACCTTATCATGCTTGTTCATGACCCTCAGAACATTAGCAATCCCCTGTAAGGTTTAACAAATTAATTTTGCCATATATAAATATGTATATCTTATATTTCATATCGGTTAGCATTGAGTTAACGCATCAGTCAAAAAATATTTCATATACTATATGTAATGAATGATGATATGATATTAACAAAATACAGATCATACATAGGAAATTATGTTTAAAATAAAACTAATCGTGTGATACAGATTAAAGCAAAGAAAATGCGTAATGATAAACAGAGAATATCATATGGCTTTTTTAATATCACATCCGTATCAACCCGAGACACCAATATAATCCCAAAAGCTCTACTCGAGGGATTGTATCGGTTGAGGGTACGTACGGTGTGTGATATTGAAAAAGCCTTATCATATACATTTGAACCTCAAGTAGATGTTCTTTCATGTGACATGACGTTACAAATTAGGTGTTTGATAAAGCCATTGCAACCGCGACTGATATTGATGACGTGAGGTCATTCAGATTAGGGGGTGTGATAAAGCCTTTGCAACCGTGACTGATATCGATATCAATATGGATGGCTGGTACAGCACGGTTGCTATTGGTCCTATTATACATACAATTTTATCTGTATTTACTACTAAGTATATAATACATATATTTATTTTGAGTATCAGCGCTTATCCAGCAATTATGATCATATAGCAACAGAATTCCTAGAACGGGTCTCGAATACCCATACTGTCAGACCATCCGTATATAATTTCTTCTCCCCTTCCTGACGTGTTCCCGAATTTATAACTCATTTAAGCCAATAGAAACTTACCCACACCAATTAGCAACCAATCACAACTAACTGTTGTCTAGTAGTGATGCGAAGAAAAAAATAAATAATGACTGGAAGTTACTAGACTACTAGTATACAATAGTAATAGTAGTCTCAGTTTTAATATAAGTGGGTAATAACGATTGTCACAATTATCATTATATGCAACGTTTGAATGTGTGATGGCAGAAAGTAGAACAATTGCTTCCTGTCTAAAGAAAAAAAGGTAAACTTTTAATGACATATTAATTTATCAATTGTAGGATAATCAAATACAACATAAAGATTCTGGATTGTGTTTGACAGTTTATAACAACAACAAATTAAAACTTGCTGAATGTACCGGAAGTGGAGAACAGATATGGATATGGAATAGAAAGGAATAAACATTTATGTACAGTTTTATAGCTGTTCTTTGACTATTCACAAACACTAGAAATTCAACAAAAAAGTCATTACAGTCACGATGTTCATCTTTGTAGATTGGTCCAATTTAAGAGAACACATTGACGATATAACATTGACACTTCAAGGTTATCTATATAATATTTGATATACTAACTTTGATCTGTGTTATTAGTTTTTACACTCGACGAGTTTGAATTTCATTCTAATAAACTTTGTTACGCGAGTTGGATTTCAAATTTAGTAGGAAAAGACCCAACAAGGTTGGAGCATTATGTCCAATTAAAATAATGTCTGTATGAGACTTTAAGAGCAATAATATGGAACTTAGAATAGAATAGAATAGAATATACTTTATTCCAAATTAAAGGGCCCACAAGGGGCAACATGAGATTATAACATTACACATATTAAACAAATACAAAATAACAATACTGGGGGAAAGAATTACTTGATTGATAGCATTTAAGTGACACTCACAAAAAAAAGAAAAAAAAAAGAAATACATATTATTTAACTATGTCTTGTATATCAAACTATAAGTCTATACATCTACATCGTTGAAATGCACAGGGTTTAAGGCCCATCGCGCAATTACTAAATCAGTCATTCAATATAGTGCTCATTAAAAACATATTTACATGACCAGGGGGGTAGCTGCCGTTAGGCACTTTAGGAACGTGCATACACATAATTTTTTCACAAATATTTTTTTTTATTAAAAAAAAAATGACAACGTTATCTGTAGATGCATGTGAGGTCGTCAAAACTCTTTAATTATCAAATGTCATTTGTACACTAATCTACCATCCTTAATGAATGGAGTATTGGATAGAATTGTATGTACATTATATTAGAACTTTTGTTCAGATAATTTCACTTCTATCAACAGATACATGAATGAACCTCAACATGCTCAAAACCCTGACATTTTATTCTTATATGCATGATTTTTTTTATTAGTAATGTTGTTGTTGGCTTTCAACTTGCTTTCCACTTGGTCTTCATCCGACCTACAATAAAACCCTTGCCAAGTTGGGATTCCGTTTGGCTGTGCGGGATGTATAAATACGCAGTCACATTTGGACAGAATGGGGACGTTTAATCCGATGCCTAGTGTAGAGAGAATATCACGCTCTCTGTGCGTTAAGAACACTTTCAACAACTCATTGAGGGGTCCGTAGGTGCATGGTCTGCTGAACGGCAAAATTTCTGTCCCTATCCACTAAACCCTCATTTTCCAATGACATTTCCAAATTTCCAGACCTTCATCCTGGACGACCCCTATTACAGGACCTACCTGTTGTATTAATTGTAAATTTGTTTTTGTCCTGAACATTGCATGAACTATTTGCCACTGGACGTTTAGCAATCAATTAATCAATTAAGCTAGTTTCAGTAACTTTGAGTACTCTCAGATCAACGTGTAATGGCCATAATTATTCAAATTCCTTAGGTAGGAATTTTACAGTTCAGGATATCAGAAAATATGAATTTCTTGAATTTTGTTAGATAGTATGAACAGAACAGAACTTTTGGCTTCATTAGACATCGACTGTGTGTGTGTGTGTGTTTGTGTGGCCGGGGAGAGTGAAGGTTTAAGAATCAAAAGATGAATGGTCGATGCTTAGCTCAAACGATAGCATTATCATATAGTAGTCTCAGTGTTTACGTGCCATTTTTTAACGGAGGATCGTCAAAATGTACTATCAATTGACGTATACATGTAGATATCAATTATCCTCAATCAGAAAGGAATAGATATGAAAATACTAAACAGGATGTACTGCTTAATTAAAGGGCTACGCTGATCTACGCTGGGCAATGCATATTAGAAATTTTTTATTTTTTAGATTTCCGATTGTACTGCGTAAGTTCATCATTCAGATGTTATTGGGAAATTATTTATAATTCTTTGAACTTTTCTTCATGTATATTATAATAAAATTACCATTTAAGATTTTATGTTTTTTTTGTACACAAAATTTTGCAGTCAAAAAAGTCGAAAAAAACCGTTTTCCGTCGACCCCCTACCAGAGCCCTGGACCTGATGGTGGCTTTAAGCAGTCCTAGACCCCCTGCCGCAATTTGTGCCTACAGTTTATTGGATACCTAGCTACGCCCCTGATGACTGTGCAGATTAATATAATGCCTTTTCTTGCGTGGCTACTCTGTTTAATAAGATGTGAGGCTGTTTTTGAATGCCTCCGCATCATCTATATTTAATAGTTTTGTTGGTAAGTTGTTCCAGTCTTTTGTGGTACGAGGAAAGAAGCTGTATTTTTAAGAGTTGGTTGGTGTTTGAAGATTTCTGAATTTTCGTTGGTGGTATTCAATTTGCCTTGTTGTCCTGTTTTGTTGTTCTATATAATCTGTAAGATCGATAACAAATCACAGTCATACATAAATGACAGTCTCTAAATATAAAACCGGCATTTGATATTGGTTCATTTAAAGTAACAATTTAATTCATAATGCTATGGCATTAGTTAAGAATATTTAAAAGACACAGTCTTCCGTAATCATCATACAATGAATTAATTTCATCATTAAAAGCATAACAAATGCCGCAAACTAAAAATAACATTATATAAATAACACATAGGGTAATAGAGTATTTGCCATAGGATAGAGTCGTATCCAATAAAGCGCACGCCTGATCAAGCGTCTCCATGAAGGGTAATAGAGTAAATTAACACCCTCGTATTACCCAATCAAAATATGGCATTTTAACGTGAAGTATAATAACAAAAATTGAAATACGGTACGTATGATTGCCAATGAGACAACTTTATGTTGATTGATTGATTGATTGTTGGTTTCTTAACGTCGAGTGGCACATATCTCATTCATTGGGTTCAGGCCTTGTGGCACCGTTAAAGTCCACAATTCATCTTAAGTCCACAACACCGCTAAAGTCCACAACAAATTTCCGCTAAAGCCCATAACGCCGCTAAAGTCCACAAACTTTCCGCTAAAGTCCACAAAATGACCTCCGCTAAAGTCCACAAAAGCACCGTTAAAGTCCACACAATTTTTTTCTATTATTAAAAAATCAATTCGCTTTTTTTTTCATCCCGGTAGTACACTAAAAAGCATGGACTTTTGTTCTTGGTAGTTATTTTTTATCAGTTTGAATTATATGTTTGATAAATGAAAAAAATTACAGTATCTGTAGAAGATTTAGTTCCATTAATTTGATCTTTGTATTGTGATGATCAGATCAGTGAATCAACCAGGCCAATTTGGACAACATTTCTGAAAAGCACGGTTATCTAGCCATAGTACATTCGTTAGTTAATACATAATTACTGCATTCTTCATTTAGAGTGTCTGAACGGAACGCGTACTGTCGTTCTTCTATGGGGACACATATGACCTTTTTTTTAAATCTTTGTTTATAATCACTTTTTGACGTAACTAATGTACATAGCAAAAGTATCGTGACATGTTATTAATAATGTTTTTTTTTTATGTTAAAAGACAAGAGCACGTACAAGAAATTCGACATACTAATCGATTTTGCTAGATTTAATTAAATTGTTACTAAACATAAGCACAGGGAACTGTGAACTTTGAAAAAATATTGCCTCGAAAAAAAGGTGGAGAACATAATATATCATCATCATGACCCCATATACCTGTGTAAACAACAAGATGTGGTATGAGTGCCAATGAGATAACTCTCCATCCAATACTTTTGTATTGATTATTGCAATCAGATTAACGTATTTAAGAACCTATATATATAACGTAATAATTATTATAACAAGACTGGACACACTGAAATGTCTTGCCTGTTTTAGTGTTTATGATTGAATTTATTTGAAAGTGAAAAAAAAGTTTTTACTACAAGCATTACATTAAATTAACATTTCAATGATCAATGAACATGGAGTCAAGGTGAGATAAATCTTTTCATTCCAAACACCAAACTAAGTTAACTTATTGCTTAAAGTATCTAGGAAGCACACATCATCAAGAAAGAAGAACTTTGACCAATGAACCATTAAATTAGGTCAAGGAAAGATGACACCGACCAGACAGACAGTCATGTACACCTTACAATCATTCAATACACAAGATGTATACATGACTTTAATATCACTTATAATATCTGAGAAACTGTCCAAACTATATATTAAAAAAGAAATGATTAATGAACATTGGGTTTAAATTTATTGGGATCAAAATCTTTTACAGATACTGTAATCTTTTCATTTATCAAACATATAATTCAAGCTGATAAGAAATAACTACCAGTGTATATAATGTGCGAATCCTGAAATGCCATTTTTACTGTATCCGTGATGAATTTCTAATATAGAATAATAAATAAACAGATGACAAATTCATGATTTTTGAATAAAATAAAAAATAATATATAATGTGAACTGTTTTTATAAACTCATGATATAGGTATGAGATGCGGACGGGTTTTCATCGAGCCTACAGCCATCCAGGTGTTAAACTGATACACAAATAGATAAATATTAAGAATAGTTCATGAACAGAGCGTACAAGAGATTTAAAAGTAGCAGTTAAGTTTCATTTGCAGAAAAATGTACCTTTTAAAAAAATATTAATGTTGTATAACTTAAAACAGGGTTTGTTATTCAGCTTATTGATATTGAATCAAATACCACTATGCAGTTTTCGTTATGCGATTCATGTTTACTGTCGAATAATGATACTAGACTTTCATTTTCACTGTAGGGCGATTCATTTCTATTGTACATGCGATGCATTTTCACAGAAGGAAATTAATTCGTTTTCATCATATAAAGTCTTAATTCAGCCGACTCTGTAACAAAATTTATGAAGTCAAAATGATTGATTATATATGCATACTTAGTGAGTGAAAGTCTGAGGTAATATATCAATAAATTCCGCATTTCCCTATCGAACTATGCGTACTTGTAGATCCCGCACAGCTAAATGGACGCCCCGCTTGGCAAGGGTTTTACTACCGGTCGGAAGAAGACCAAAGTGACCATATTTCTATTCCCCAGTCACCCTTGGGGGCAGATTATGTTGAATTTAGCAACTATAGGTCATCGTACGACCTTCAAGGATTGGAAAAAAAACATACCTCATAGCAAGCTATATGAGAAAAAAAAACTAACATCTCTATAATTTAAAGATGCAAAGAAAGCAAAAACTCTTATAAAAACTGGTTGATCTCATCTGTCTTTATATAGTAATGCTATAAATTAAAATCATGATTACTTTAAGTTGTAACATCAAGAAGTAAACATTTATGTACTATATATGATGAGTTTATTTACTTACTGACATTTTCATACTGACAATTAAAACTAGCATGCCCAATATTTTTGTTTTTGTGTGCATCTTTTTTAAAACTCGCTTGCACAGTCTGTCGTCTGGTGGGATGGTTAGCCCTTTAAAGTAAACAAAGTTTTGGCACTTACATAAAGAGTTTCCAATGTAGACCTGTCTGTACAAGAACTATTTCCTCTAGAGTCTTCATTCTTTTTGTCTGACTAATGTTTGCTTCGTTGTATAATATGCCAATATTTTCTGTCAGTTGCCATATTCTGTTTTGTGCAAGTACTGTAAATTTGGACTTTCGAATTAAGAAAACTTTTGAATGAAGTATGTTTTAATTTACTACTCTTAACGAGAATTTCAATGGCAAAACTTCAAAGAATTGGTGCACCTGCCTAGTTAATATCACTTGTTACTTAAAAACTTCACATCATAACCTCAAGGGTCACCTGAACTTCTCCATCACAGGCATTTAAAGCGATGCTAATAAAGAGGAAACGGTCAGTTTGGCTGTGCGGGATGTATGAATACGCAGTAATGTTCGGTCAGAACGGGGACGTCAAGTTAATCCGAGAGAATATTTTCAACCACTCTTTTGGGTGTCCATCTGTGACCTGTTGCTATCATTCAAAATTTATATGTCCCATTTCAAAATATCATCTTTTTGAAATATGAAAAATATGCACTGTGGCCTATCAAATAAGATTTCCAAATTTCATTCGAAGTTTGATTTCCACAGCTTCATATTTGCAACATAACAATAGTAATCGCTATTCTGCAAACTATATTTGGTGAAATCCCAATTGATAGTTCTAACACATTCTATAATTAGAACATAGTCGGCCGAGAAATTCTACAGTATTTTTTTTCATGCACTAGCGCGAATGTAGGCAAATTGGACTGAAGCTCCAATGATATAATGCCATGCATTACATTTTTGCTCAACTATATCTGAAAGGCTTTTAAACTTGTTGAGAATGTTTCATGTGGACACGTTGGTCATGATTTAATGAAATGCCGAAATGGACTTATTGATTTCAGACGCAGTTTAACCTGTATCACGTTTAAACTTATAACGTAACAATACAGGTAATGTGGACATAAAAATCTGGGAATTCTTTGTTACAGTTTACGGTCTTTAAGGAATTTAAAATTGCTATCTCGAATTATCTGTAGTGATAAAATGAATTTAAATTCCTTTCATCCGTTACCATAATTTTTAAAGTTGGTAATAGCGAATTTAATAGGTCCTAAAATATCCAATGGCTGACTTAATAAGGTTTTCCAATTACAACTTAGAACTGATAGAAGTAATTTACAGAATAATAAAAATATTTTATACACTTAACATTCACTTTCAAATACTGTAAATTCAAAAATTATAGCGTACATTTATTATTGCGAATTTTGAAGAATGGACTAAAATGCGAGATTAATTATTGCGATTTCAGGAAAATTTGCATACAGTTATATGTATATCAGATATCAGAATGCCAATTTTTATTATTGCGATACTCACTCAGTCGCATTATTCGCATTAATAAAAACCTCGCAATAACTTCTGAATTTACAGTATCTCGGAACAATCAAAAGATATGTAGGTTCTACCAACAAAGCGGATCGACAGTGGTGATGAATGGAAAAGTTAGACTATACTGACTGAAAAGAGGATATGTTTTAGGTTGTGTCAGAATGTTTGCCTTTCAGAAGGGTTCGAGAATATACTGCAACGCTTGTTACCTTCTAGGCGCGTGTTTACAATTATCTTAAAACGAGAAATTGGCGTTAAATTAATGCATTTGTTTATTTCAGACTACAGTGACTTAATCGGATCGGGTCTTCTTGTGGCCTGGAGACGTCTGGATGTCTTAATTTATATACCTAGATCACAGATGTTTGCAATATGCAGTGATTCTCATGTTATCGTTTCTCTCTCCATTAAATCCATATTGTAGGTAATCCTTATTTTGATCGAATTTGTATTTACTTCTTCTTCTGATTGAAGATTACGAACTGTTGCAAACGCGTAGAATGTGAATAAAAACTACATTTTTTAAAATTTTGTAGATTACTTAATATAGTGATACTTATATACATGAAAATACAACAAGTGGTTAAAACATTTAATCAGTTAATTTGTGTTGTGGAGCAGAAATGGTGTCTACTGATCTCTAAAAGTTTCAATTTTTTGACATGTTTCAACAACTTGTGGCAACATGTTCATTGCATTGTTGTGTGTGGGAAAAATAACCATTTTTGGTGTTTTTCCTGTTCTTAGTGACTTAGTGAAAATTATTGTTAAGATTGGTGCGATCTGTGATTTTAGTTCTTTTAATAATCGTGGGTTACTGACTAAGATTATATCTAGTATTCTATCATTTCGTGTTGGTGTGTCTGTGGCTTGGTGTAAGTTATGACTAGTAGATATTGATGTTGTTTAGCATCTGGTATGCCTGAGATGAAGGCTGGTATTGACCAATGTATGTGTCCAAGATTAAAGTCCCCGCCTTACCATATAATTGTGGTTGATGTATTATCTAGTCTGTTCAAGGAGATGTGAAGTTGTTCTAGTAATGTACTTTTATCTGAAGGAGTCTATAGTAGTTACCAACAGATTTTTTGTGTGCCATATACATATCTATTTCTGCCCATACTATTCCACAGTCTGCTTTTAGTTCTATGATTTCAGGGCAAATGAACTCTTTTGTGATAGCTATCAACACACCACCATGGCTTTGATTTTTTATGTATGTAGGTTTATCATATATACGTTGTAAAAGTTACTTGGAAGAAAGTCAGTTGATGGTATTGAGCCGGGCTAGACTAACCAAGTTTCGATCTGTACCTATATATGATGATGTATGTTATTTTAAGTCATTGTTTAATAAACGTGTCCTGAAATGGGTGTTTTCATATTGAACCTGTACGTATTATGTCCTCGCACAGTTGTAGTTGGTTTGATCAGCTGTATCGTGCAAATACAGCTTACCTCGATCCAACACGACTGTATACTTGGACATAATACTGGATCAATATGAAACACCAATCTAATATCACTTTAGTATATAGTTCTTAATGTGAAATAATACTCAAATCATGAAAGCAAAAATTATTGCTGTTCATATATGATGTATTCATAGTCTCCTTGGATAAATTTCTGCAGAAAGACTAAGTGAATTCTTGATTACTCGTATTTTAAGTAAAAATATCATCAAGGTAACGGTATACGTTTATTTTAAATTGAGTTTAGACGAGTCTTTGCCGGATGCAATTATCCATAAACTGTAGTTCAAAACAACACAGGAACAAGTATTTTAAATTATAAATATTTTGATAGGTCAAACAAAAGGGCTATGATAACTGATGGTCAATCATGTAGCGTAATCCCCCTTGCCATCTTGCATGATTTCAATTTGGGATTTGGATTTGGAATATTTATTTTACAAATTTGGATAAGCAGTAAAACCATGCAGCATTAGTTAAAATATCTTGCAAAAAAGTGAGACAGTCACACAATATATATATATTTTTTCAAGCCAAGTTAAGAAAGTTATCGGAACGCCACGATATACATGCATTTATGACTTTTTCAACCAATTACAACTTAGCGCAAGTGTATCTAAGGATCGATATATATGAATACAGTTTGAAATAGTAAATGAATAAAAATCAATATGAAACTATTTTCCGTGCGAACACCAACAGTGATCAAGTTCTAGATAATGACATGAATATAAGTGTTTTTATAATCGGTTATTTTTTTGTATCATTATAAGGGACATTATATATATAGTTATACATATCAGGTAATCGGATCATGGATATAATCATTGATATGACAAAATATTAACCATTGATCACAACAGCTTTTAGACATAGAAATAAATGTACAGGCAATACAAAAAAGAAATTGATAACCAGAGGATTCTAAAAGGTGACACGCCCACTTTTAGGACAGCGGAAGTCGACATTTTACTTCCTGTAGCAGACGAGTATTTTGGAAAAATGGCAGTGCAAGGGAAAGTTGATATGCTTTCCATCCTGAGGGATGAATTAGCCTATGAGGGCGGAGCAGCATCTCATGTGTTTGTTGTTTTAGGTGCATCGGTAAGTATAATTTGTGCATTTAGTCACCAAACACGATGACATCGACTATGAAATGTCATTCTTAATTTCTTTTAGATCTCCGTTTCTTCTTTTTTTTCTGCTCTTTGAGTAAATATGATATTTTATCTTCCACATGCTCTATGCAAGTAAAGATTAGACCAAAGGTTGATAATAAGAATATTCATAATATATGCCTCACAATCACATTACACTGTTAACGCAAAACAGCTAATGTACACATAATGACATGAATTGCTGAAGTGTTGTTTTATGTCTTCAATATCTTGTCCTATATTTTGACACTTCTACAGTTTTTTCTCCACAAATGTGCCAATCTAGAATTTGATATTGATACCCAGTTAACAAGCACAGGTACTTGTCTCATTTTTTTTTATGTTTACAATGTATATACAAGGTATATAGTTTTTTTTTTCAAGTGTCTGTGGCTGTGTTAACAAGTTCTGTACAATTATTTTAAAATGAAACAGCAAAACTTTTTTTGAGAAAAAAAAATAATCAGAACAATATTACATTTATCTCCTACCAAATTTGACAGTTGAATAACAAATAGAACAGACCAGGAAGTTAGTTTGACTTTTAAAATTAACAAAATGTTATTCATTTTGAGGGTAGCACAGTTAGTATTTTAAACTTATCTTCCCTGAGGCCCATGTGGGTGGACCATACTGAGTAAAAGTACACTAGTTTGCATGTTTACAAAAAAAAAAACGATTTAACTTCAGATTGTGAAATTGTATTTCAGACACTGGCAGAGGTAATGGTTGCAAATATCTGTACATTTGTACAATAAGTATTTTTGAAAAAACAAACAGTTAAGCTTTGTTGCCCTCCCCCTATTTTATGCTATCATATTCATGCCATTTTATTCCATGTTTTTGTTATGGATACTAGTTTTGGAGGCAGTATTGCACGCTGACTTATATTTGAAAATATATAGTATAATTAAGCTTACAGTATTTAACCTGCCTGGTGCTGTTTGTATTGCAGCTGTTGAAAAAAATCCAGATTTGTGTTTTGTTTTGCTTTTTGGTATTATAAAAAGATATGTACAGCTTGCACTGTCCCTAAGGCCACTATTGTGGAAAATATCAAAATGATGATTTGTGCTTCTTGTCAGTCCTTATTTTAGTATTAAATAACAGATTTTATTTTATATCTTCAGAACCTGAAAATTAACTTCAACATGATCAATGAAAAAGTTGAGCAGTATTTGAAAAAACTTGCCACAAAGTTGAAGTTATGAATGTCAATTATTGATATTATTATTATTTTTATATTTTTAAAGAACCAGCACTTGATTTTCACACTAAGCCTTGTGCACTATCTAGATATAAGAAGATGTGGTATGAGTGCCAATGAGACAACTCTCAATCCAAGTCAAAATTTATAAAAGTAAACCATTATAGGTCACAGTACGGTCTTCAACACGGAGCCTTGGCTCACACCGAACAGTAAGCTATAAAGGGCATCTAGTCCAGAAGTGGTCCTGATGTAGGAGTATGACGCACCATGACATGTACATCTAATAGAGAATCAGTTACCTTATAAATAATAAGAAGTGTTGTTGCTTATACAAAATTTTTTTTTATTTAAATTTTTTTTATTTTTCTCAAAAATATCACATTGAGAACTGGATGTGTAGAAGGACCTTGCCAGAATATCCTGCTTTGTACTAGAATGTACTAGAATGATACACTGATCAGCAGGATTTTTTTATGTGCTAGTTCACAAGGTAGCAATATGAGAAAGATATGTTATCCTACCTGCGCATATCATTCTTACTCATAGCAAACTTGGTAATTGTATATGTTATTTCAACACCTTGAGCCCCCAAATGTAGTAAAACCCCTTTTGGAGGACCAGGCAGAAAATAAAATTGAACAATTTGTGACCCATCTTTACTAGTCCATGATATATTCACAATGTGCTTATATTTGGGTCATTTTAATGGTATAGACACTTATTTAACATCTGTATTGTTCAAGATTGTATGTTAATTTCATCTATTCTGGTTGTTTTTGTTGTGTTTTTGAGTTGTTATCTCATTGACAATTACAACCCATATCTCCATTTAATCCTTACGTTAAAAGTTGTATTTTAGCCTACTGTCAAGTCAATAAATTATTGGTTTTTTATGGTAATGAACATTGTGAATGTTTAAGCAAAGTAAAGAAATATTCAATAAGGTTTGTCTCACTCTTAAGATGATTGAAATAACAGGGAAATCAATAACCCGTTGACAGGATAAAAACACCTAATTTTTGTCTTTATTTCCATATAAATGTCCTGAAGGTAGTCGAATTTTTCCATGTGGTTATTCTTACTTTACATATACAATGACACACTTATACATAGGTACATACTAGGAAGTAGTAACAGGATGTCATATACAACATTAGATCTAAGCATGCATGAAGTTTGATAAGTCGTTACGTTACTTATGCCTCGGTAGTTTTATATAAGATCATAAACTAATAAAATATTTAATTTCATATCTTGTATAAAGGTTGATAAAAGTAGTTTAATTAAATTATTTGATAATAAATGTTTGAACTGACATAAGTAAATAAAAAATAAATTTCACCTCTGAGATATTTGTACACGGTTAGGTATGTGTGTTTTAAAATTTAATTTTATCACTAGTTAGGACTCAAGAGTTAGAGGTGCTCTATAGTAATCACGCTGTCTGTCTGTTGTTTGATGAGTCAAGATTGCCTCAATGAATTTAAATAATTAGTTTTGTTTATGCAAAAGTGTTTCTCATGTTTATATATCTTCTATAGAAAGGGGACATTAAGCAGCCATCCATCATCATCATCTATAGAAAGGTCCCTTCTTTTTAAATATATTTCTGTTGGTTGTAATGGAGTTATGGGACTTTGTTTATTTAAAAAATGCTAAATCAAACTTTTTTTTAGTAGTTCAATAACTAAAAATTGGTTTGACCGATTAAATATCTCATTAGTTTTCAGCACAAGGATAAGATTAATCAAAGAGATATTCCTTAAAATTGTGTTTTATGATTTTCATTTTTCTTTTGGTGAAATAAGAAACACAACTGTGGTACATGTTAAAACTTAGCTTTTGTTTTAAAAAAAACACAAATTTGAGAAACTTGATTTTTGCCAGGATTTTAATGGAAGTAGTTGTCTTATCCCTTGAAATTATATAAGATAGAGAAAAAATATTAAATGGACATAAATGATGAGAGAGATAAAATATGAAATGAACATAAATGATGAGAGAGAGAAAATATGAAAGGGACATAAATCGGCAAAGAGAACAAATATGAATGTGACATAAATGCTCAGAATGACAAGATCCACCTACTTACTATATCCTCCAAAATTATCAGACACCTCTTTCAGGATTTATTGCCAGTTTGTCTTATCATGAAATATATAATAGATGGAAGAAACTGTAAACACAAGATAAGACCTACAAATAAGTCAAAATATCTGATATTGAGTGACAATGACAATTAACTCCTCATAGGATAAAATAAATGAAATTTTGTAAAATTGAATTTGGTTTACTGTAATGGCAAAAAGAAATAATTAACATTTGAAAATTGTATATTAAGCTGTATTACTTTCATTTATTGTAGGGAGATCTTGCAAAAAAGAAAATATACCCTACACTTTGGTAAGTAATCCACAAACATGTCCTTAAAGGGTACACATGATAAGACATCTAAGTGCTATTTATAGAGTGGTGTCTTAGAAACATGCCAGTTGAATACCTTTACTTTAAACATACCATATATTTTCTTATTCTTTATTGTTTTTTTGCCTATCTGTAATAAAAATTTAGCAAAGCTATTCTGGTTCTAGATACATTAAAATGAAAATCACCTGATTCTAGATATTATTTTTGTCGAGCCTGCGACTGTTGTCGCAGAAAGCTTGACATAGGGATAGTGATCCGGCGGATCTTAAAAGCTTAATATTTCAGAAGGCGGAAGACCTGGATGCTTCATACTTTGTATATAGATGCCTTATGATATGAAGTTTCCCTCTGTCATATGTCCATTGTCCTTGACCTCATTTTCATGGTTCAGTGACTACTTGGAAAAAAAGTTTTTTTTTGTAATGTTAATTTCTCTCTTATTATGAGTAATAGGATAACTATATTTGGTATGTGCGTACCTTGCAAGGTCCTCATGTGTGTCAGACAGTTTTCACTTGACCTCGACCTCATTTCATGGATCAGTGAACAAGGTTAAGTTTTGGTGGTCAAGTCCATATCTCAGATACTATAAGCAATAGGTCTACTATATTTGGTGTATGTAATGATTGTAAGGTGTACATGTCCAACTGGCAGGTGTCATCTGACCATGACCTCATTTTCATGGTTCAGTGGTAATTGTTTAGTTTTTGTGTTTTGGTCTGTTTTTCTAATACTGTATGCAATAGGTCAACTATATTTGGTGTATGGAAATATTTTACAATGTACATGTCAGTCTGGCAGGTTTTATTTGATCTTGACCTCATTTTCACAGTTCCTAGCTCAATGTTAAGTTTTTGTGTTTTGGTCTGTTTTTCTAATACTGTATGCAAAAGGTCAACTATATTTGGTGTATGGAAATATTTTATGATGTACCGGTACATGTCAGTCTGGCAGGTTTTATTTGACCTTCACCTCATTTTCACAGTTTATTGCTTAATGTTAAGTTTTTGTGTTTCGGTCTGGTTTTTTGTCGAGCCTGCGACTTTTGTTGCAGAAAGCTCGACATAGGGATAGTGATCCGGTGGAGGCGGCTGCGGCGGCGGCGTCGTTAGCTAACTTCTTAAAAGCTTTATATTTTAGAAGGTGGAAGAACTGGATGCTTCATACTTTGTATATGGATGCCTCATGTTACGAAGATTCCGTCAGTCACATGTCCAATGTCCTTGACCTCATTTTCATGGTTCAGTGACTACTTGAAAAAAAAGTTAACATTTTTTGTAATGTTAAATTCTCTCTTATTTTAAGTAGTAGGATAACTATATTTGGTATGTGCGTACCTTGCAAGGTCCTCATGCCCGTCAAACAGTTTTCACTTGACCTCGACCTCATTTCATGGATCAGTGAACAAGGTTAAGTTTTGGTGGTCAAGTCCATATCTCAGATACTATAAGCAATAGGTCAAGTATATTCGGTGTATGGAAGGACTGTAAGGTGTACATGTCCAACTGGCAGGTGTCATCTGACCTTGACCTCATTTTCATGGTTCAGTGGTTATAGTTAAGTTTTTGTGTTTTGGTCTGTTTTTCTTATACTGTATGCAATAGGTCTACTATATTTGGTGTATGGAATGATTGTAAGGTGTACATGTCTAGCTGGCAGGTGTCATTTGACCTTGACCTCATTTCATGGTTCAGTGGTCAAAGTTAAGATTTTGAGTTTGGGTCTTTTTTCTAATACTATATGCAATAGATCAACTATATTTGGTGTATGGAAATATTTTATGATCTATATAAAATGTCAGTCGCGCAGGTTTTATTTGACCTTGACCTCATTTTCACAGTTCATTGGTCAGTGTTAAGTTTTTGTGTTTTGGTCTGTTTTTCTTGAACAATAAGCAATGGGTCAACTATATTTGTTGTATGGAAGAATTGTTAGCTGTACATGCCTGCCTGGCATGGTTCATCTGACCTTGACCTCATTTTCATGGTTCATTGGTCAATGTTTAGTTTTCTTGATTAATGTTAAGTTTATGTGACAGTTGTAATAAAGCTTTTTATTAAGGACTATCAACATAATATCAGTGATTAGTTAAGAAGGCCAGACATTTCAGCGTGTGCACTCTTGTTTATAAATAGCCGTGTCCATTACCAATCCCAGCAAAACATATTAAAACCTTTGTCAATAGGTGAAATATATCGATTTCTGTATCGACTTTTCTAAAGTTATGCTGCGTATACTATACATTTATTTTGTGGTTATTTCTATCGTAGCCTGATTTGACTTTTTATAAATAGCCGTGTCCATTACCAATCCCAGCAACACATATTAACACCTTTGTCAATAGGTGAATTATATATTGATATCTGTACAGACTTTTCTAAAGAAGTTATGCTGTGTATACTATACATTTATTTTGTGGTTATTTCTATCGTAGCCTGATTTGACCTTTCTTGTGTAAAATAATTACTGTTAGAAAGGTGTGTGTCTGTGAGAAGATTATCTGGTTTTACTCATTTGCATATAGGCAATGGTTATTCATCTGTAATGATGTGTGGTAATTAAGTAGAAGTCTTCGATTTTCAATGATATAAAAATGATTAAGCTGCACCTGGTGTTTCGGATATCATTTAGGTCATTTTTGACCAAGGCCGTAAATCCTCATCAGGTACCCTAGCCTTGTATAATTATAATTACTATGTAATTACAATTCGATTAGTTCTTGCTGTGGTAACATATCAAATGTAGTAGTATTTTTAGGGCACAATTTATAAATAGCCGTGTCCATTACCAATCCCAGCAAAACATATTAAAACCTTTGTCAATAGGTGAAATATATCGATTTCTGTATCGACTTTTCTAAAGTTATGCTGCATATACTATACATTTATTTTGTGGTTATTTCTATCGTAGCCTGATTTGACTTTTTATAAATAGCCGTGTCCATTACCAATCCCAGCAACACATATTAACACCTTTGTCAATAGGTGAATTATATATCGATATCTGTACAGACTTTTCTAAAGAAGTTATGCTGTGTATACTATACATTTATTTGGTGGTTATTTCTATCGTAGCCTGATTTGACCTTTCTTGTGTAAAATAATTACTGTTAGAAAGGTGTGTGTCTGTGAGAAGATTATCTGGTTTTACTCATTTGCATATAGGCAATGGTTATTCATCTGTAATGATGTATAATTATAATTACTATGTAATTACAATTCGATTAGTTCTTGCTGTGGTAACATATCAAATGTAGTAGTATTTTTAGGGCACAATTTATAAATATGGAAATATTTTATGATGCACATGTCAGTCTGGCAGGTTTTTATATGACCTTCACCTCATTTTCACAGTTCATTGCTCAATGTTATGTTTTTGTGTTTCGGTCTGGTTTCTTTAATACTGTATGCAGTAGGTCAACTATATTTGATGTATGGAAAAATTTTACAATGTACATGTCAGTCTGGCAGTTTTTATTTGACCTTGGCCTCATCTTCATGGTTCATTGCCTATGTTAAGTTTTTATACGACCGCAAAAAAATTTTGTGGTCGTATATTGGTATGACGTTGGCGTCGTCGTTGTTGTCCGAAGACACATTGGTTTTTGCACTCTAACTTTAGTTAAAGTGAATGGATCTCTATGAAATTTTACCATAAGGTTCAATACCACAAAAGGAAGGTTGGGATTGATTTTGGGGGTTATGGTACCAACAGTTAAGGAATTTGGGGCCAAAAATAAGCATTTTTCTAGTTTCCAGACAAAAACTTGTGTTCAAGTGTATGGATCTCTCTGAAATTGTACTGCAAGGTACCATAACACAAAGGGAAGGCTAGGATTGATTTTGGGGGTAATTGCCTCAAAGTTTTAGGAATTAGGGGCCAAAAAGGGGCAAAAACAAGCATTTTTCTAGTTTCAGGACAATAACTTGTGTGTAAGTGTATGGATCTTTATGAAATTGTACTACAAGGTTTCATATCACAAAGGGAAAGCTGGGTTTGAGTTTGGGGGTAATTGCCCTAAAAGTTTAGGAATTTGGGGCCAAAAAGGGGCCAAAAACAAGCATTTTTCTAGTTTCCAGACAATAACTTGTGTTCAAGTGTATGGATCTCTCTGAAATTGTACTGCAAGGTACCATACCACAAAGGGAAGGCTGGGTTTGAGTTTGGGGGTGATGAATCATAAGGGGGTTCAAAAAATTTGGGGGAGGGATTTTTTTTTTCTTTAAAATTTTCCTTTTTAAATTGGTTATTTCTGATTTATATATAAAAGCGAATAATAATGATATGGTTTGAATAGGTAAATTAAAATTTTTTAAAGTTCTTAGACCACATTCATTCTGTATCAGTAACCTATGCTGTGTCAAATATTTAATCACAATCCAAATTCAGTGCTGTATCAAACTTGAATGTTGTGTCCATACTTGCCCCAACTGTTCAGGGTTCGACCTCTGCGGTCGTATCAAGCTGCGCCCAGCGGAGCATTTTATTGTGTTCTGGTCTGTTTTTCTTAAACTTTAAGCAATAGGTCAACTATATGTGGTGTATGGAATGATTGTAAGGTGTACATGTCTAGCTGGCAGGTGTCATTTGACCTTGACCTCATTTCATGGTTCAGTGGTCAAAGTTAAGATTTTGAGTTTGGGTCTTTTTTCTAATACTATATGCAATAGATCAACTATATTTGGTGTATGAAAATATTTTATGATCTATATAAAATGTCAGTCGCGCAGGTTTTATTTGACCTTGACCTCATTTTCACAGTTCATTGGTCAGTGTTAAGTTTTTGTGTTTTGGTCTGTTTTTCTTGAACAATAAGCAATGGGTCAACTATATTTGTTGTATGGAAGAATTGTTAGCTGTACATGCCTGCCTGGCATGGTTCATCTGACCTTGACCTCATTTTCATGGTTCATTGGTCAATGTTTAGTTTTCTTGATTAATGTTAAGTTTATGTGACAGTTGTAATAAAGCTTTTT